CTGCCTAAAGAATTTAACATAGAAGACCTGTTCCAGGAAGGAGTTACTATTATATGATGGCTGTAATCTAATGTAAAATTGAAGTTACACTAAGAAAGGCACCACAAGCCCCTCTTGTCAAAAATTCTGTCTCTCCCCGGCCACATTCTCTAGGTGGCCCTACAAAGACTTGCCAGACAAACATTTACATTTATAAGGAAAATCTCCATTTGTAAAGGTATCTCCCGCTCTGTACTAGAAAGAGGGGGGATGACCTCATCTCTAGAAACTTATCATTACGGAAGGAGAGGCCTTAAATCTGCATACCCTTGATCACTGTGATTTCTGTCTCCCTTCTGTCTCCCTCTCCACCCCCAACATCCTCCTTTGTTTTTAGCTGAATATGGTATATAAGACGAGAATCGCCGCTATTGTGTTGAGAAACTCAGTTTCCCTGGTTTCCCCCAGGTATACATGTTATTAAACTTGGTATTATTTTCTCCTGCTAACCTGTCTTTTTAATTATTTGGCCAGCCACAAGAACCTTAAGGGAAAGGGTGGAGGGGGATTCTCCTTCTTCCCCAACACGAAGATTATCGGTTGTGGTACTGGAGTTTCCCAGGCTGATGTCAGAAATCATGTCCTAGAAAGATAAAACAGGTAAACCTTCTGAGAAACAGGATGGACTAAGTGACCTCAGGAGGCAGAGGAGACTGGGAAGGCTGGAAATGGCCTTGAAGTTGGCAAGAAAGTTCACCAGATCATTTGAATGTGGTAGGTAATTAATTTGCTTGGCAAATATCATCGGATATTTAGGATGCCAGTCTTCCTTGTTCTCATGATCCACAATCAGAAACCACAAGTACAGAACCTCCAGGTCTGTCCCTGCCTGCTGGAGCATGAAACATCAGAGGAGGTGGTGCCAGCGAGGGATCAAACTACAAACAGTCATTAGAGTAATTTCATGCCAAGCAAGTGGTCGCTCACTGAGCAGGGAGCCTGCCCCCTCTGCTCAACATGCCTCAGGCCACAGACTCACAGAACAACAACTTTGCTTAAGGCTAGCTCTGCCCTCAGGGTGACTACAGAGGGTTCACATTTTGCAGGGACATCCCGTTTTGCAGCAACCTCATTTAGGTAAAGTCTCTTCACCTCTGTCCTTAGTCCAAGTCAGTGATGGGATCTCTTTGGCTTTCTTTTCTGTCGGTAGCTTTCTTCCTATTTTTGTTTTCCTCTAGCACCTTACTTTTGTTTCCTATGCACATGAAAGTAGGGAAAACTTCACTGCTAAGAGGGTTCTCTCTCATTTCTCTACATGCCCACCAGCTACAATCTGGACAAGAGACGGAATGGATAGAGTAGGGCATAAGGAAGTAGAGGAAATGACTTGGAAGCTATCATCTCTCTGGGCCCAAGTATTTCAATCCCTACAAAAGAAGACTTTGGCTAAAGAAATTGGCAATTTAATTTAAACTCTTTATTTATAATTATATCAGTTGATCCTCTTGATATCCTATAAACTTGATCGTTTTGCTGATGCTCACACTTCTAAGAGATGTTGAAGCTAGAATTTGAACTCAGATCTCTCTGAATCATACATATATGAGTCATGAAAATTATGTGTACCTATATATGAGTCATAAAAATTATATCTAGAGCTGGATCTAGATGTGTATCCTGATTTTTGCATCAGGGAAGGTATACAAAGTTTTTATGACCCAGGATCAACAATTTGTATTTAAGGGCCAGCCCCGTGGCTTAGCGGTTAAGTGTGCGCAC